AATGGTCAGAATATTCTAAATTTTAAAGCTCAGGAACTAGGTCCAGCCCCGATGATGGGTTGTAAGGGTGCGATATAGGTATGCTTTGGGAAATATATAGACCCAACTCACGTTGGTCTCACAAAATAGGCGACTACCAACTCCATGGCACTCCTCATCCAAAAATATTCCATACAAATCAGTGTCCACTTTGAAGAGTTTTTATTATAAAAAAAAACTGAAGTTCCGAAGCGGAACTGGTTTTGATTAGATAAATGGCTTTATTAAAGCGAACGAATGGGTTTTGATTAGGCAGCTAAATACGGATTGAAGTTCCTGCTAAAAAAGGAAGCTTGCTAAGCTAGAAAACTTCTAGTTGCTCTAGCCAATAAGATTTTTGCAGAGGAAACCCCTACGATTTTGAACGAGCTTTTCCAGCTAAGCGCCAAAGCAAAAAGAAAAAAAATGGGAAAAATAACTTAAGCAACAAGTTTAAAATGCCAATCTAATGTTGAAAGCCTCAGTCAGTATAACATAAATAAGAGAATACAATTATTAACTATTGAACGGCATAAAATACGTTTTTTAAACAAAATGCAAAGTAAACAAATCCCCAAAAACCCGTAAATAATCGTGTGTCGAACGTTTTGCCACTTAATAATTAAGATAACCGAAAGTGTAATAAACAAAAAAGGTTTGCTGTTCCATGTGACAAATTCCAACTTTTTTTAAACAGCACAAGGCGATCCAATTTTTACAAGCGAATGCGAAGTGGCATCGAAATTTTGCTGCCAGGCAGCGCATTTGTTGCCCATGCCCCCCCCCAAAAATGGGCGTGGCGTGGGCCTATTTGCCGAGATCATTTTAGTCCTTTGGGTTTTGTTAGCATAAGATAAACAATTTTACATATTGTACATCTGAGTGTTGAATTTTTCCATCAATGTTTAGCACCAAGATAAAGAGAAATTACAGCGACAGTGCCAACAAAAAATAAATACACCTAAAACAAAAAAAAATGTAATTAAATTTTACGAAAAACGAAATTGTACCTTGAGAAAAGTCCAAGAGAAAAGATTTGCGGCGGTAGCACTGAGCACGCAGCTTCAACAAAACCGATCGATAAGTAGTCGAACAATAAAGAAGAGTCCCCTTCTGTCAACGTTTAAGGACGAATATTCTATAGCTAACTAGTTGTGTTTTGCACATTTTGTAAACTTTACAACACGATGAAAGAAAACCGAATATCTAAATAAACAACAGCCCCGCAGCGTTATATATAATGATCTATATACTTATACAGGATACAAGAGCATAACTAATAAAACCGTTTTTAAAACCCGTAAACAATTGCAGTTTAACTCTCGATTTTGCTTTGTAAACATTTATTTAAAACAATTGAGTAAATTAGTCCTAAAACGAAACACATAACGAGTTAGTTAGTTATCTAATAGTGGTTCTAAAAAGCATAATCCACGGTGTTTTTGTTGTATGCTTACAGGAAATAAGTGTTTAACGTTGTTCTTATTGTTTAAGTTAAGGATCTCATTATATCTTTGGGCATTTACAAGTATTTCAGTTTAAATGAGTTTCATAATACATAGGTATTTTAATGTATTCAGTTTATTTAAAACCAATATAAGCATATCCACAGTTTTAATACCTTCACCGGAATTATTTGGAATTACCAAAATTACGACATGCTTTTAAAGTACATTAAGTACATGCCATGTTACGGTTTTCACTTTTGATTTGGAGTCCTGGACTTAGAAATCATATACGAAGTAAAGTTTACAATATTTAACTGTCTAAAAATTATTATTTTAGATGGCATTAATAGATAAATATTTTAATTAAAATTGCGAAAACCGAAACACGGCTGAATATTAATTTTTCAGAGAGTTGAGATTCTTTCAGCTTAGCGACTACGACAATTGACAAGAGACAAGGAACATTCGCAAAATATTGCGCAAACAGATACAATAAATGCTACAAAAAACACGACGAGAACAGAAACCACTAACACGTTATTGTCTTCCTCAAAATCTAGAGTTAATATCGAGCTGATCTTACAGGCCCTTGTTGAAGTAGACACGTTGGGGAACGTTGCCCCGAGTTTTCTTCTCGATTTCCTGATAGAGTTCCGGCTCAAAGGTGCGCATAGTTGAAGTGTCCAATGAACACTGTTGTGGGAACAGAGCACAGGCAGTGGGCACCATGAAACAAAGGCTGAAATAAAGAATATAAATTGTTTAACTTAAAGAAATAGTTATGGACGACTTAGCCACTTACAAACAGCCAACCATGAGGGTCTGGAAGGGAGCATTAATCCACTTGATGCGTCTGTAAGCGGGCAGTTTCTCCAGCCTCTCCATTATCAAAGGCAGGACCAGCATGCCAGGTGCCGCCATCGCAATCCTGGATATAACCACCTCACCAATTCCCTTGATGGCTGCCAATCTACTCTGGCCCACTATCTCTCCATCCTCATTTTTCACCTCAATGCCATTGAGTATCTCATTCTGTCGCATAAACGGAATGTTCACAAAATTGGCCGCCGCCACAGCCGTAAAGGGCACAAATCTCTGGAACAGCGGACTCGCCTTCTTGGACCAATAGTTTTTGCATCCAATGGCGGCTATCAAGGCCGATGTTGTGGCCGATACATATGCCACGCCCAGCTGCGTAACGCTTGTGGGCGAATTGGCATTGCGGTTGGTGTAGTTGACCACCGCATTGAAGGACTGGTTGATGAACTGCCAGAGCACTACGGCCGGAACGGTGCGATAGAAGGCCAACATGCCGCCGGTGATCAACATGCCGCCGGGCACCTAAAGGGGTTACACAAACACAAAGCAATTAGTTTGACTAGTAAACAGAAGAAGTAGTTTGCCAAACACTTAAAAACTACCTTGAAGCAAAAGATTATTGTAAGTTAAAACCTTGAACACTTTATATTCTTATCAGAGAAGATCCATAAAAACTTTCAAGAGATTAGAACAATTTTTAAAGATAAATCACACTCAGAATTAAGAACGACTTACTTCTTATTTTCAGTAAAAACTTATTTTACTTCTAAAAATCTAAAGTTAGTCTTAATGAAATGTTTAAATCGTTCAATTATACAATTATATCATTTCAAACTTGTAGGTTCCTCAACTTAACAAACTGACGTATGTAATCCCTCGAGATTTCAAATTCCTAGCCGTCTTGTGTTGATTTCGTGCCTCGTCTGTATTTTTGGCAAACCATTCACTAAAGTCTTCGCCAGACGATTCTATTTTCAGCACCCACGTGCCAAAACCATCACGAGACTTGCCTGAAAACTCATGCGGCCGCAAAAGTTCTGCAGTTCCCCAGAATCCGGATGAAATGCGGAGCTATACAGCTTCATGTTGTAATGGACCTCCTCCGGTTTCACATGTAGCGATTGATCACCTTTCCGGTACTTTTCAATCATGGTTTTGGCTTCCAGCAGGCGATCGCTGGAGAGGATTACGGTCCGGGGATCCGTCATCCAGGCGAAATACTGAAAGCGCCCAGCAAAGGTGCTGAGATCGAAGAGGGGCTTGTCCACATCGATAAGGGCTAGGGTAGAAATAGGTAGATTTGGTTATCAATATACTATAAATAAATTTAAATATTTATCTGCAGGTTATCACAGAAATCCAAGACGTTAGATTTTTTTTTTGAAAAACTTATAGCTTTTTAGATATCCTCTTTGTTTAATAACAATTAAAAAAAACACTTTGTTATGCTTCCTAAAACAATTTATTTCTAAAAAATAAGCACAAAATAAAACATTTGTTATGCTTTCTAAAACCTTTTATTTCTATAAAAATAAGTACAAGAAAATTTAACAACAAAAAATAATTATATTGAGCTCCAAACTAACACTGATTTTTGTTGTGCACTTTTAATATTTAGTCAACTGGATTTATGTTAGACTCTTTGAACACTGCAATATTTTTTTATTGTAAATCTTAAAAGTTAAGACTTTTTAAACTGTGCATTTTAGAGCTTGATTAACTTGAATTTGTTATAACCAGTGTGAGGTTACAGTCTTATTTTGAATTAATTTATTTTTATTTAGAAAAAACATGAACATTTTTGCAGTGCACATTTGGTCTTAGGTAACCGGATTTCTTTGGCATCCCAGATAAAGTTATGATGTTAATTGATTCTTACTTGATACCTGCGACATTTTGTCAGTTGATCCAATTGCTTAACTGGCTGTTATTACGAGTGGCTTACGTAAGTAATTACTGTCAGCTGTTGCCGGTTTATTACGGCCTGTTGTTGTTGGCTGCTCTTTTGGCCGGATTTTCACCTTATGTGCTTACCTAGGGCCGAATTAACGCCAAATGATTCAGTTTCAGCCACGCACCTGATCCGCCAGCTGTTCTTTTCACTTTTTTTTGCTTTGTAATGCGGTTCAAATGTTCGCTTTTTGTTTTTCTTGCCGTTTTTTTTTTGGCACCCGTCCAAATTGCAAAAAAATGTTGTTTGTTTGTCCGCTCTGTATTTGCTCTATTTGTTCGTCCGCTTGCACCCACTGCAATTACTCAATTTAGCACTTCTTTTGTCGTGCAATTTAGCGGATGATAAGCAACTAAATCGAATGGGCGAATAAATGCAAATTTTCAAATTGTTTACAGCGATGGCGAAGAAGAAGAGTGACGGGGGTGGTTTCCCACACAAGTGTGACCGTACGCGAATCCGGTGGAAAACACCAAAGGCAAGCAGTTAAAAAGTGGTGTCAGTGCTGATCGCAAGCAAGCAGTTCTTGGATATCCAACTATCTAGATAAAGCTTGATAGCTAGATATGGAAACAAGCGTTTTATTTTTATAAAAAAATTATTGAATGCTATGAACTATATTTTGAAATAGAACGCTCCTCTCCATTAGTAATAATAGTTTTTAACATTGCTCCACTAGAAATGCTTTGCTTTATGTTTCAAAGGAATTATTGATAGTTTTGCTTTAAATAGTTAACATAGCTGAACCGACATCTCTGATGCCATTCCTAACGGCGTGAGATTGCCATTCTCACAGAACGCCAACACAGCCGCACAATTGCAAATACGAGTTCTTTTCACTTTCGTTGCGCTTCGCTCTACAGTTTATTTGGCAATTTGTGTGCTCATTCAACATCTGTGGTATTGTGCCACCGTTTCGTGGCAGCAAGATGATGAAAATCGGCGGAAAACCCAGAAGCAAAACCAGCAGATAATAATAGAAGTCCAGCTGTGCGTGTGTGTTGGTGTGTGATTTTGCAAAAATAAAAAAAAAAACCGGAAAGCCAAAGCTCACCGACACGAATACGGATGTAGATGCGGTTGCGAATGCGGATATTATCCACCTAAAGCGGATATTATCTCCAAACACACAAAATGCAAATCCTGCAAGTGTTTTTGGCAACGCTGCTCTGTGGCTTCGTTTGCGGCGCCAATATCCTGGCGGTTTTTCCCAGTGTATGGAAATCGCATTATCTCTTTGGCCGGAGAATACTGCAGGAGTTGGTGGAAAGTCGGGAAAATCATTCCGTGACTTTGATCAGTCCGCATGCCGGCTACCTGGAAAATGGACGTACAAATATCCCCGAGATCAGGGAGTTGCGAATCGAGGGTCTGCGGGAAAATTGGCTCGACATGGGCATGAGTTTCGAGGCCGAGGAAATGCGTTCGCAAAGTGTGATGGAAAGATTCACCCGAATGATCTATGCGGGCACCACCAATGTGGATATCCTGCTATCCGATCCCCAGGTGCGAAAGCTCCTAACGAGTGGCGAAAAATTCGACCTACTCATAGTGGATTTGTTTCTAAGCGATGCTCTGCTTGGGTGAGGCCAAAATGGGATTTATGTATTAAGTATTTATCAATATTTAATGTTTGAAATTCTCCTCTTACAGCTTGGCATTCTACTATGGCATACCCACTGTTGCAATCAGTCCAACTGGCGCCAATTCCTGGCTGAACAATATGTTTGGTAATCCCCAATCCTCCTCACTGGATCCCAGCAATTTCCTGCCCTTCACGGAGAGAATGAACACCTGGCAGAGGGTCCTAAACTCACTGATGAGCACCTTCGAACGGTTGACCTACAAGTAGGAACTAATCTGAGAAAGACTTCTATAACTCAGACTTCCTTATAAAACTTATATATAATGTTGAGTTATAGAAGTTCGTCCAAAATAACTTAAAAATCTGTCACTAATTTTTAACTTTTCCCCCTAGCTTTTTCCACCTGATCTCCCAGCAATCGGTGTACACCAATCACTTTGAGCTGCTCGTTAAGGAACTGCCGCTCTATAGAGATCTAACCAAGAACCTAAGCTTGGCCTTGATCAACTCCCATCCTGGTTTGCATTATCCACGTGCCTATTTGCCAAATATGGTGGAAATCGGAGGACTGCATTTAAGCGACCCAAACGAACAACAATTGGGAGCGGTAAGGTCGTGTTTATTTTTAACTATTTATCCCTAATGTTATTTATTTTTAGCATCTTTTGTCGTTCATGGAATCAGCTCCAAGTGGGGTGATCTATTTTAGTTTGGGTGCCGATGTGCAAACAGCTCAGCTGCCTCAGGAGAAGTTGGCCATCATTCTCGATGTGTTTGGTCACCTCAAGGAGTTTCATTTCCTGGTCAAATGGGAAAAGGAGGAGTTTGCAGCGGACCAAGAGCTGCCGGAGAACGTGATGATTGCTGATTGGTGGCCACAGCAGGGGATTCTGCACCATCCGCAGGTCAAGATGTTCATTAGTAGCTGTGGACAGTTGAGCGTCTGGGAATCGATAAATGGACAAAAGCCCATACTTGCCATACCCATATTGGCCGATCAGGAGGTGATGGCCAAGCGCCTGCAGCACCATGGAGTCTCCTTGACAGTTGGCTACGACTCTATCGCATATGATTCCCTGCTTCATGGAATAAGGCAACTCACCCTCAATACCAGTTATGTGGAGAGGCTGGGTCAACTTAAGGATCGACTGATCAGCAGGGATTCCTCGCCAGCCAAAAAGGCAGTACGGAAGATCCAGCTTGTTTTGGAGTCCGGGGGAGCCGACTTCCTCAAATCCCACGCCAATACTTTGAATTTTTGGAGAGCCGAGGGCGTGGATTTGCTGCTTATAATAGCCCTGGGCTTTTGTGGAATTTTAATCATTCCCTTCTTGGCCATTTGTATTATTCTGAGAAAATCCTACCACAGTCAGGCGGCACAGGATCAACCTTCGTACAGAACCAATCTGAAAGTGGTTGGAAGAGTTCATAGCTATGGAGAGCCGGGGAGTTGTAGATCTCCGAAAGGAACTGAGACACTCAGAAGAACGCGATCGGCTCAATCCCTATCGGCTCGGTCCAGCTCTTCGAGCATGAGTTCCACGTCGCCAAGCCCATCGACAGCGTCCACCACGCCGCTGGACCTGACTCCACCGCCTGCGATTCAACTCCTCGGTCAGGTACCGCCACTACAGCTGTACGTGAATCACCAACGGATAAACTCAGGCGATCGAAAGACATCACAGGAGGAAAACGGAGAACGAAGGTTCTCATAACGATATATCTCCCGACGAATCGTATAACTAAAACTTATGGTGGGTCAAACAGCAAGGAAGTAAGTTCCCTTTCGATTGTCTAAAGAGTACCTTCCGAGCCCGCGTCACAAAAAATGATCCACCCTTAACTAATCCTATAAATATCGACTAGTATTAAGTGTAAATTTTTGTTATTGTGGATATGTGAAAGAAAAATTTTCGTTTTATGTTTAAATAAGTTTTAATGTTTATAAATTGTACATAATTTTGAATGATTTTGGTTTCTATAAATTTTGTGTGAACGAAAGTTCCGATTTTAAACTGAGGATATATGTATATATATCCAACCAAGTATAACAATGATTTGGGTATTCGAAATTGATTTCATATTGCTGATATTATTGTCAGAGCTCATTGCCGCAATCCTTTTCAACTAATATTTCAATTCAAAGACTGAACAACCACTTTCGTATACCCCTTAAATGACAAAGTTAAGCTTAAAAGACACAATAATTGCGGTTAAACTGCAAGGGTTCAGCTAAAAATGCATCTAAACATTGTTAATTTCAAAACGAAGTTACCGACATAAATGCAATGGTAAATTTATTAGTGGAGCTACATTTTGTACAATAGGGAAACTATTTGCAATTTTTAGTTCGGTTTAGTTTGCTTAAAATACTTAAGATAAGAATAATTTTATAAAGCCATGTATGAATTGTTGAATAAAATATAAAATAATCACCAGATCTAGGAATGCATTTATTATTGATATATATCATTTTGAAAGTTATTTGTAACGAAGTGATTGAGCCTAAGGTAAAACAATGGTTTTGATCCGCAAAATAATTTTTCCTTCATTTTTGTTTAAACTCTTTATTCATTACCATTTTAATTCATTCCTGCAAATTGGAATTATATATTTTAGTTGCCCTCACATGCTAATCACTTAATTGTGCCACATCTTTGTTTGAACTCTCATTGTGCTATGACAAATTCAAAATTCTTTTAGTTGGCAAAGAACAGATAGCGTTAATTATGGTTTCATACGGCTGTTCGGGGGCAAGGGGCGTGTCTAATTAGTTGCTAATGGCGGCATGCTTTGATGTGCATGGCGGCGTGTGCACTTCATTTAAGCCGAGTGCGGCACAAGTGTCTCTGAGGATGTGCCGCGGATGTGAATGTCACTGCGGATGCTCCGCAAAGGATGGCAGGATGCCAGGACGCCATGACGGCAGGACGGCAGGATGCCAGTTGTTGCAGCAAATTCACCTGTTTGCATTCATCAGTCCGCACACGTAGACAAAAGGGTAAGGGCAAAAGCAGGTGAGTGGAAATTTTTGGGGGAGGAATGTGAATGTATGTGCCCTGTGGGTGGCACTTTTCATTTGGCTTCCCCTTCTGGCTTTTTGTTAATAAAACTGTATTTATGCCCGTTTGCCCAAGGTAAGCTACTGAAGAACCCTGGGAGGAAAACATTGGCAGGGTTAAGTTTCCTCTCTTCATGTGCATATTTTTGGTTAGACATTGGAAATTCGATATGAAAACCACAAGTGACATGACACGATGGCATTCCCATGGCATAACTCCTCATCTCAAAGGCTTACGGAGGCTAATTCTGGGTGGGCATGATCGGAATGGAGAATTAATAGTGCCTCTCAAGTCATGTGTGTATAGTGGTTGAGATCCAAAGTCAGATTTTTATACAAGAATGCACGGCAACATTTTTAGGGCAATTATATCGAAAATAGACGTGGGGTAGGATATTCTGAACATGTGTTGTTAAGGATTAAAACCTAGCTTATAAAGGTGTTAGCAACATACACAATAGATCCTTTTTTTCCCTTTTACAATAAATAACTAATTTGCTCATTAAATTGTGTAAAATTTAATAAAGAATGAAATATGTACGCATTGATAACACTTTTTTCTCACTTGTACACTTTTTGCAAACAACATTTATCCTTTTAATCACGATTTTTCGGTTTAAAAAGTTATTTGTCAGCTTTTTTTTTACTTAAGCGTAGACTTTATATCTCTGAAGGCCATAAAACCGCTAATTTTAACTCGCTCTTTGCAACGCAAGTTCAAGCCCCATCATAGGCGGTCGACTTCTGCTCTGGGTCGCTGTCAGCTTATCAAACCGACAGTCCGATTTGGTGTCCCATCAAAGCCCCACTTGTTACGGGGGCCACGAGGATGGGAAAAACTTGGGATGGGGGCCAACTGGAGCGGAGACCACGGGCACGACCGCCAGTCGCGAATGTCAACCGCAAGAAGAGCGGCGGAGTCAAGTGAAGACTTCTCGCATTGACAGGCGGCCAGTGCAGTCGGCCACAACATGAGCTTATGAAAGGGGGAAGCGGAGGATGTACACAGAAAGAAAATAAGCTATACACGTTGGTCAAGGATTCCTTTGACCTAAGGAATGCATTATATGCAGAATTACGCTTCAACGTGTGTAATGATTCATTAAAGGGTTTAATTGATTTATTAAGTCCAAGCCTTTAAGCCATACCAGAGAATCTCATTGATACGTTTAATTTCTAATTGATTTATAATTGGAATTTACCAAAGATTATTTTTTTTAAATATATTTATTATGGACAATGTAAAGAACAATGTACATTCATAGAATAAAATTTGTAAAATTTTGAAAAAAATTCGGCCAGCCTATAAATCAATGATTTTATATGGCTATAGCCAAAAAGAACTTAACAAACTTTACCACAATTTATGTATACAAAATAAAAGGTCAATTCATCAACACAATATGACCTAATATTATTATTTTTATTTTTTTTAATTATTGTTTTAAAGTCAATTAAAACCTGTAGTTTTTTTGATTAGTTCAATAAAAACCTTTTGATTGATATTGTTTCTTCTGTAATAACTTTAACAGTTCAATAATACGTTGTTTTCTTCTTATTTATAAATTAAGAGCACTTTTTTTTCTCAGTGCAGTACAAGAATTTGACATTCCGAGGTCTCGGGTTACGGCCATGGGAACAGAAAGAGTTCGAATTGGCTTTGGGTTGGCACAGGAGCTTCCCCGCCCCGTGGCCCCCATCACCCATTAGCACCGCTGTCAGAGATCCCATGGGGACATGGGGATCCGAATCCATTGGACTGGAGGCCTGGCTGACATTGGCATCAAAGGCCCACCATTTCCCCATTGACAGAGCTGCCGAGTTGTTGTCATCATCTGTCGTCCACGGGCGGCGGCTCTTTTCAGCTCCTTTGAAGTCGGGGCTACAAAATTAATTGCATGCTACACAAATCCCTCCTCGGCCCATCTGGCAAACTAAAAACTAAAAACTCTAAATCAACAATCATCATAACTATAACTTTGTGCTGGCCCAAAAGGAAAAGGGGCAGGCGGTGTGTGCTGTCAACATGCTGCCAGTTGCTGTGCTCGCTTCATTTCCCGCCCCTCGCTATACTCAACACTTTTGTAGGGAACACACTTGACTCTTGCCATGGCAAATCCCACGCAATACACTTTAAAAAATGTACAGCTTTGAAATCAGAATGTTGCGCTATGAAATTTGACCTTTAAAAATATATTTAAAGAAGGTATGGTAGTCTGACATTAAAGGTTTTCATAAACTTTAAAAAAAAACTTTACAAAAAAAAAAACCTAAAAAATTAGTTTTTGCTCTAACTTTTTTTTTACCAAACAGCCCTATAACACTTAAGTATAGTATTCATTTGTGGAAATAATTATATTCATAACCACTTATATCAATAAACTTTATTTAAAATATTGAACTCAGTGTTGTACGGATATTGAAGAATAATACAAATAATATACAATATATCTAAGTAAAACTCAAAATGGAATAGAATACAAAAATAAATTTTTTACAGTGCCCGTAGAACACGAACATATGCCACTCCCTCATTTGCCTCTCATACGGAGTTTCCGGCTTTTGTGTGCATTTTGCACTCTGTTTCAATTTAATTACTTTCGAGTTACGCAACCAGGACAGGACGAAGTTTGCATGGGATGTAAATGGAGCAGTAGCCAAATGATTTAGATGTCCGCACAGTCTTCAATTTAAAATTCATAAATCACAAATTAAATTAATTGTGAGGCAAGTCCTTAGTTGAAATCCACGGCAAAGGATAACACAGTTGTAAAGGCGAGAGCCTCCAGGTTTCGTTTGCACAAAATTTGCATTTATCGATTGGAGGAGTCGACGACAGGTCCAAGCAGAGGCTTTTTCTGATTTCTGTTATATATTCTTTTTTGCTGTTGTTTTTTGGGTGACACACAAAAAATAACAACACAATTTGCATAAACGTCAACAGCAGCAGAAGAAAGCAAAGCAAAACAAAAAAAAAACACAAAATGTGGCAGCTGTTGCTGCAGCAAGAAAAAACAACATCAGAATAAGTAAGTAGGGGGTATACGGACAGGATAAATCGGGGGAAAATATGGGATGGGAGACCCGATTTCAAAGTTAAGACAGGAAAGCCTGCTGTCAGTTTTATGAGCTGAATCAAAGTCCAAAAATATCCAATTACTGCAAGTGGGTTTGCGGTCGGACTATCTAAGAAATGTTTAGTTTATATGTCGACTGAATATAAATTCTAAAATAAATTTAAAGAAATAATAAACTGAATGTTAAATGGCACCTTGTATGAGCTAACGAATTTTTATTTTTATTATTTGAGGTAAGGGTTACAAGGTGTGAAATAGCATTGTTTCACCTCCTAAAATCTATCGAACTTGACTAACTAATAGAAAAAAAGAATAGATTAAATAATAATTACTTCCTAAGCTCACATGAATATATTTGTGGTTATAATATTTAAGATTCCTTTTGCCATACTAGCCACACTAAATGCATAATTAAAACACAGAGATGCACTCAGTTGCAAACACACGTTTATTACTCCCATGCCGACCTGAAACAAGTATGCTGGCCACATTCCCAAACTTTTCCAACAAAGTCTCCTTATGTCCCTTATTTGAGTACCAAAAGTCCAGTTTTGTTGACCAAAAAACCCTTCTACAGGTTTCACATGACTATTTTTCGGCATAACTTTATTGTGGCTGTGACGGTTATGACTGTTGTTATTGCTCTTGTTGGCAACTTTAAAATGCATTCGAACATGGTTAAAAGTTGTCCGTGGGTCTATGGGTGTGTGGGCGTTCAGGGGGGGCGTGGCACAGGGGTGGCGAGTACTGCAGGAAATGTATCCCATAAGGAGTAGACCAGAAACAGAACAGAGCGGAAGGCACTTCCTGTGAATGTTTGAGTGTGTGTGTGTGCTCCTTGTGCATCGCTCCTCCGTACTGTCCTGCCCATCTCCTCGTCCCTCTTCCACACCCTTTGTCCTCTCACTCGCACTCGCACCGCTTGGCTCGATGCAGATAAGAGGCATATACGCTTGTCAAGATTTGCTTTGATGTCTTTTTCATGTCCCCGACTTGGGTGCGGCCCTCTCCATGTCCAATTGCTCCATCTCTGCACGGTAAAAAAAAATTGTAGCTCTGAAAAATATATATTTTATGTCTTGCCTTCACATATACTAAGCACTCCCTACAAATTTTAAATCTAGAAAGCTTAGGTTCAAATAGAAATTCAAATTTCAAGTACATGAAAAGAATATGTCCTTGGAATTAATTAATTTAAATGTTTGCTTATTTTAGACATTCTTACATAAAATTTAATTAAATTAGCTCTGGGATTTTCTTCAGCATTTTCGTATTTTTATAAATCATATTTAAAGCTTAAGAAACATGCTATTAGATATTAAATAAAGAAAACTAAACGAATAATAGGTTTTAAACCATTAATTTGGGTGTATTAGGATTTACTTATAATGTTATTGCTACTATGTAGATCAAAATTAATTGTAGTGTCTAAGCTTCTTATTTTCTGGTATAACTAATTAGTATTAAAGCATATTTTTCACAGTGTACGCCTCTGTTTAGCCTTACAGCTCTTGTTCTCTGTGTGTGGGTTGACAACAATTAAAAAGTGACGGGCAAAACAAATCGCCAAGAAGGGGTGGCAGGTCCACCAAGCTAAGTAGCAGCAAATATACAAAAAGCAAAATCTCTTTTAGAAGCATTTCAATTGCCTTTTGTTTATGCGAGAGATTTCCATTTCCCCCCGGCCAGCGCCCTCGAATTCGCTTTGAAGTCGAGCATTACCATGGTCCGCCACGGTGTGAGTAAGTTTTATTTTTGGTAGCAAAGAAATTTTATTAGCAAAAGGGTTGGGAAAGCGCTTTGAAGTTCAAGTGTAGGCGCAGCAGCGGCCCCATTGATATATTTATTTCCACACACAATAATTTGCTTTGTGGCCGTCGCAAATTGAAATATCGCATCAATTTGCCATGCCGCCGTCGCGCTTTGTAATAAAAGTAAATAATAATTTAATAAAAAGTCAGAAAAAAAACCAGCCGCAAACTACAAAACAAAACACCGAAATGCGGCGCAACAAAACGAAAAAAAAAATCGAAAATCGAGTGAGCAAAATCAACCATTAAACGCTGCCGGCAAAGAACAAAGCCGAAGCAACAGACCGGCAAAAAGCCGACAACAGCTGGCCGAAAAGCGAAAAAAGCTAAAAGAGTTGCTCGTTGGAGGGGCGGCAATAGCACCCTCAATATGTCAGTTGGTCGACAGCAGCCCACCATCGCATCGAATCTGCCGCGCATGCGCAGATTCTCCATGTGTGGTTTTCAGTGCTGCCAATTTTGAAATATTACCAGAGTGACAAAAAACCTTAAAATATTCAAAGTATTTAGAATATTGTATTTCAAAAAAATGAGTTATTCATCAAAAAGCTCCATAAACTTAATTTTAACTTTGTTATATTTAAAAAAAAATATATAAATTAAAAAAAAAAGGGTTATGAAATTATTGCTAAGTATTATGGTATATATGCCAATATGTTAAGGATTTTTAAAATATATTTTTGAGTTATAATATTCCATATAAGTTTGACCATATAGGGTTTTCCACTTACACAAAAAAGGACAAATTGGCAGCACTGATGAGCCCGGTTTGAAGTCGCCGAGATGCCGATGCCAAATTGATTTGAACCAGCTCAAGAGCTTTCAGACAAGTTGATAAGAGCAGAAATCCGACAGCACCGTTTTGCTGTTATAGTGGTGGGCATTATCTTTGTAAACACATCTATAGAGTAATAGCAATGTTAGTCCTTAAAAATTGATCATCAACATAATATAATTATAATATATTTCATACAAACAACAAGATTACTTTAATAAATTATTTTTAATACAAAAGCTAGAGTAAAACCCCTTTTTTACAATATTTCTCTGCTGAGGTTGTGAGCATAAAAGTAACTACAGTAAAAAAAAGTTAATAAAAAATTGTAATAAAAATGTTCCCTATGTTTTAAAGTTTTCAAAAACAATAAGGTCCAAACATCCTTTTCATATATTTGAAATATTCCTGAAATAAAATCAAAAGATAAAAAGTAAAAACGTAAGAGTATAATTACACTTCGACTTGAACAAACAAATCAACGATCTTTTATCTCACAATTTTCGCACGGGTGGCTTTCGACGTGGCTGAAACTGTCCGGATGGATCCGACTCTTGGCCAAGACGTCGGTGAAACATCAAAAGGTGTGTGATGGGCGAATGTGTGAGGTGGCCGCCTGCGGGCCGGGCAAAATGGACACATGCACACATTGAAAAAATGGGGAGGAGATCGGGTCTGGAGAAGGAGGATCGGGTCTGTCCAGCTAATCAAGCATCAGGCATATACTTCATCATCATCATCATCTTCTTCATGGCTGCGTTTTTGGATGCAGCGTGAACAGTTAGTCATGTAGGAAATGCATTTGTATCGCAGGAAAAAAAAGCGGCAGTGCTTTGATGACCTCAAGTTAAAAAGAGTTTCATAGTTAATTAAAATGGGCATAGATCCATTAAGCATCGAGCGATTTTTATATATTTATTTGTTATTAAAAATTTGTTTTTTAATTCATTATCCGCAATAAAAATCAATATACCTGGTTTAGCATTGTCCACGAAACAATGCTGAATAATAAACAATGTAAACCTTTTAATTAAAATGTGTGTAAAGCCATGAAGCTTTTGGCGATTTCTACACTCAACAAAAAATTTTCATAAGAACTAAACTATTGTTGCATGAACTGCTAGGTATGAAAAATGTCTCATTTAGACGAGTATTAATTTTAACTCAAGACGAGTAGTAAAACAACTTAATAAGTCGTAAGTGGTTTAATACTTATACTTTAATACAGTCTGTAGTTTATTTTCAAGACACACTTACTACAACTAAACTTTCAGTTTTTTGTTGGGTGTATTTGTCATCATAATTAATTCATTTTATGTGAAAAGCATTGGTGCACAAACACTTAAAAGGTTTTTAATCGACGGTTTTCTAATTATTTTTTTTTGGTTAATTAAATCGAAAATATTTTCAAAATGTTTAGATACATACTTTTCAATGCAAGACATATTTTTATTTGTCTAATATCAACTGGGTTTAAAATATTAAATATTAATATTTAATATTATTAATATTAAAATAAGATGATTTATTTAAACTCGAAATATTTTATATATTTAACTAACTACAAACTATATGTTGCCGTTATCTGCGCATGCGTGAGTCCTTTTCGTTGGCTGGAGCAACCAACGTGTCGTATGAGTTATGGCAATCGAATGGGCACACGTGTGGCCACTAGCCCAATGGCCAGTAAATCAAACTTTTTGGCAGGGCGTGTAAACAGTGTTATAAATCAGAAAACCGCAAGGCACCCACCAGGCAGCGACCATATTGTCCATGGACGAAGTCATAGTCATACAGCTGGCTGAAGTCTGAAGTCGGAGGACTGCGCCCACGCAGACGTGAAAATCTGGAGGCGAATTGGAATGCGTCAGGATGCAAGTGACGCATGAGGCGATTAACATATGAGTGGCTCGGTGGGGTGAGTGGATAGCACATTCAGTTGGATGGAGTGCGTGTCTAAGACTTAAAACTCCCACCGCCTAACATGAGAATTTAATTAAAACCAAACACTGCATGAGCAAGATATGTTTTGCAATGCTGTTGTTTTCTAAAACATATTGTGGTTATTTTTTGGTTTTCAAGAGATAATAAAACAACTGTCTATTATTTATATTATTTATTATATTATTGCTCACAAAGAAAATACATATAGTTTTGCAAAAGTACAATATACACTTTTTATTTTATGTATAACCATTAGATAATAGTGTCTAAATCCGTGTTATTTCAATTTTATTCGTCTTCCATGAGCCAATTTTTTAATATTATCCGTGACAGTTGAAATTTGTTCCTATATTACAATCCATTTACTTAAATATCATACCCCTTGAAGTCTTATTTAGTTTGTGAAAAATGGCCAAGCTTCAATTAGCTTTCTCAGTGCTGTGCGTTTTGCTGTATTTTTGTGCAGCTCAGTCACAAAACCGTTCGCTTCTACTGTTTAAGGAAATCGGAAGTCAGACTGAAAGGAATTATATACTATTTTTGTTTGATATTGAAATGATTCTATTTAAAATCTATGCCGGCAAAGCGAGTTTAAATGATGCGAAACTAAGTCGAGATTTGATTACTGGATTGGGAAACTCTGAAGTAAAAAAAGAAATGCAAGCACTAGCCAGTAGATTTAGAAAAGCATCAAGGGCGAAATTCTGGATGGCCAATAGAGTGTTCGTGCCTCAGGAAGACCCGCTTTCAAAGAAAATATCAATGATATTCTCCTTGCTGATGGCAAGTGCCAGGAAGCATGATTACGCCAAGGATATCAAAACCGCACGCACTGTTAACCAGTGGGTGTTGGATAATGTGGATAGGGTATTGACCGACTATGCAAAAGACAAAAGGGAGAAAAGAGCTAAGCAATTGGTAGCCCTCAGTGGAATGTCACTAACTCCCCAATGGAGTATTCGTTTCAAATCACAGGTCAACAGATACTTTGCAGGCAGATCAAAAGCGCCAATATGCGTGCCCATGATGCACTCTTTACTCAAAATGGAAACAATGTCCACGGACGAGGCCAAAGGTATATTCATCAAATTCGAAACCACAGACATTGGCATTTTGTTTCTTCTCCCGCGAAAGGGTGTAACTTGCCAGAATGTATTGGACAATTTGGGCACCCAGATTAGGGCTGAACTGGACGATCCCATAGATGTTAATCTAATGATACCCATATTCAAGGCGGAATTTGAATCGGACATCAGTTCGAAGTTAGCAAAAATAAATATGGCTAAGGTGTTCAATGGTACGCAGTTTTATTTGGAGTCTAACATGAAAATCGATGAGTTTATGCAAAAAACTAAGGTCGAAATTAGACCCAGGAACATTTTAAGTAAGCCACATATTTTTTAATGAACCTCTGATGCAATTTTTAACAATTTTTAAACTTTTCTCTAGCTAAAGTGAATGATATTAATATGCAGAATATAACAACATTCGAACTTAATCGTCCATTTGTCTTTGTCATTAAGGATAAAGATTATATTTACGCAGTTGGTCGAATTGATGACATGGATGGACTGGCTTCTACAGGGAATTGTTCAAAGAAGTATTCCGATTTGGACTAATCGCGGAATATGTTAAAACTAATAATAATACAATTAATCCATATCTGAAATCATTCTATAATATTACATTTTCAAATTCATATATTACTTGCAAAATACAATGTTTTATTCTCTCATAACGTAAAATGTATTATATTTTCAAGACAACAAATGTCATTTGAGTTATGTATACCTACAATTATTAATTTTTTATATTTTTAAATTTAACTGATGACAAACTTTTGTTGTATTTAAGACATTGGCCTAAATGATGGAATATTCTTCACAGTTAAACATATCTTTTTTAGTTGCCAAACATTGCCCAGCAGATCAGTTTTTATTAATAAATAGATTTGTTCCCAATTTTTATTTGATTACAAATTCAGTGTTTGAATATAATAAAAAACCGAGAGATGTGCGACAAAGAAAAACTTTGATAGCTCAAAAAATGAGGCAGTAATTCGAAATTGAGTTTGGCCGGAGACAGACGAATGGATCGGCTGATGAATATGGATATTCCGTCTGGAAATGGAACCGGGTTCTCGATGGGATGCGATGGAATGGAATGGGATGGGATGGGAATGAGTGCATACAGAGTGTTCGTTGAGTGATGTGCGCATGGATAATGAAGCAATGACGGCATGAATGACTGAATGAGGCGGCAACCTCTATAAGATCGTCTTCGGAGGAGGAGGAGAATTGAGGAGGCTTCTCTCAAAGGGGCAGCCGCCGATGCACGACTCCGCCAGCGACTGCGACTTGAGCTCCGCTTGCGGCTTGAGCGTTTAATTAAAAGGCAACAAAGAAGACAAAATAAAGCGAAAAAAAAACACGAAATAAAGGAAAAAATATATATAAAGAAAAAAGGCGGCAACTGAGGCGTCGGCCAGCAGTTGATCATTATCAGATACGGCAGCGTAGATAATGCAAGATACAATCGGGGAGTTGGGGCAGTTTGTTGGGCACTAGATGCTTTTAATAATGATTTTTATTTTTAGCCTGGCCCCAAAAGTAATACCCCAACCCCTCCACTTTATGCCAGCTGTCTGTAATTTACGAGTGGAGCACAGAATAAATGGAAAACTTTATTTTGGTCAATAGCGTGTGGTAAATAAATGAAAATGCTTAAATTATTATTTATTCGCCTGCGGTGCGACCAAGGCGGCACTTTATGATTTTTCTATGTTGTGTGTTGCAAGATTTGATTATTTATTTTGGTAAATATTGCTCAAAAGGTTTAATTAAATATGAGTGGGGCGTGATCTAATCAAGAGGTAATGCAGGTGGGTATTTATTTCATAATTTAGTTAGTTAGCTAATAACTAAAATCTTTTTGTATTTGTTCACGAAAGAACTCATGGCATTTTATGTATGTATGCTGCATTTACAAATTCACAAAAATAAGTAGATATGTAAATAAACGAGAAATTCTCTTCCTGGAATTGACATTAAAGAAAATATCTTCTTTGGATATTTGAGATATGTAAAGTTGCTTCAAAGAAGCTTCTTCCTTCAGAAGAATTTCCTTAGATCCACAGGGCCCCAGCCACTGCCCACACTTAAATCGCTTTTATAGCTCCCATTTAATCTATCGCTTCCCATCATGTTTTTGGCATCATTAATCTGGTCATTAAGACCCACAGACTCACTCTCTCTCTTTATATGTATGTGTATATATATAGTATGTACTGGGCCTAATCGTTTGATAGACATCGGGAGACGACGGACTCTTGTAAATGTAAAATCGTAAAAATCCAGTTGAAACGGGCAAGCAAAAAGTGCCCAAGAAACGCTCATAAAACGCCTGATTGAAATGGCTTCATTTCGTAGACAAAAATTTGTTGCTTCGTCGCTGTTGTTGTTTGGATAGATTTTTAATGATTTCGGCCTAATAAGCAACAATTGGTTGCACTGCCTATCCCCTTTCCCATTTTCCCGATTCCAATCAATGCACAGTTACGATTTCCGCTTTGGGGCAGCAAACGAATTTTCCTTCGGCCCCCAACACCAATATGCATCTTTTATTTTTTCGTTGTGGGCCCGCGTTTATCAAAATTAATTGGAAATTTTCGTCGTTTTTTTTTTTGTTTTTAACGACTTCTGGGTAAAAGTCATTTGAGTGGCGAAGAGGTGGGGACTTCAAAAGGCCTGTTGCACATGTTACCAAGGGCCTGGAGATCTCTTCGGGCGCTCATTTGGTGGTTCTCTGGGCCTGCCAGTTTTATGGCCTTACAATATAATTTCCTGTCAGTCAGACGACGAATGCCAAAAACTACAATTCATAATTGCTTTCGAAATTTGTTTATAAACGCGTCCCACACATCGGCCATCATCATGGGGACAACTTCATTTGAATTTTACGACATACATACTATAAAATATAAATATTTATGACCAGCACTTACAACAAAGTTTATTTATTTTATAGTTTCACTATGTACACGATCCGCCCAATACGCGCATATGATATTTATTTGATTTTGCTTAGGTTTACGACTTCCCAAAAAAATTATTTTGAAACTCTGCGCCTAGCCGATCACTGAAAATATATATTTTTTAATGAGTTTTTACCAAAGATTTAGCGCCGCTTTCAGTCTGACGCAAGTTGAACAAAATATATCTTCTTATCTAATTTATGATCACCCCATAATTTACTGAAAATATTTGGAAAATTGGGAGCGCCTCATCGCCTTGTTGTTGTTGAGCGTTTAATGGGTTTCTGAACAAGAAAAATAATCAATTGCCGAGTTTTATTCTTAAACTAAAGGGAGCTTTTTTGTGGTTCTAGGAATTAAAATAAATACAATTAAGATTGAAGAATAGTATGCTTTGAAAAAAAATAAATGCATTTCATATAAGTTTGTGTACATTTTCCTGAAAAAAAAAAACAAAATAATAATGTATTGATGATTGAAAAGTCTTTAGAGTGCTGAGAGTTAAATTGAAGATTTTATGCTAAGTATTAACTATTTAAAATATTATTTAATAACATTTAAAAGTTGGAAATATTATTTAGAAAGCCATTGGTAATTTTGAAGTACTTTATACTAGTTTAGGTTTTAATGAAAAATAAAATACATTTGCTTGTAAAATATTGATGACTACAACTTCTTTAAAATGTAAAGAATAAAATGACACATTTTATGTATTATTTAAAAACATTTAATGTTTTTCTCCAAGGACATTTATTAATCCATTAACACTTGTCTTATTTTTTATACAAAACACTTACACTACAATTTAATTAAATAAATAGAATGTCAACTGATTTTTCGATTAACACTGTGCCCTGGAACTACAAAATGTTTTCCCTTTAACACCGTTCGAGGCAAGCCAATTATGTTTATCTGCTGTCGCTAAAATGACCCCCATAACCTAATCAACTCCCTAATGCAAACACACACGCCACATAAAGCTCGATTAAACTCGTCTAACCCTTCAAAAACTCATCAGCATTGCCAATATGTGTGAAGATAGGGACATTTCGGTGGATCAGAGACGGGGAGGTTGGGAAAAACTGGGGGAAAATCGAGGAAAATGACACAGAGCGAATCCAATACTGGTTCCTTGTCAATTACAGCGAACAGTTGCCATGGCCGTCGCTCAGTCTTCGTCGGGGCAAATGTCAAAAACCCTATATATAGCCGGTCGTCACATATGACCGCCGCCCACCAAAATTCAGACTCGTTTTTGGGTAATTACATTTGCAGCCCCCAGCCTGTGGACATCGACATCGACCATCGGACCAACGACATCGACTTTTGTCAAACGCAAAGCTGCAAAATGTTGTGCGAAATTCAGCAGAACAAAGTGCAAGGGGTTTCTGAATGCGAAACCGGAGAAAACATAAATCAATATCGGCTACAGGGCGGACAGATCCCCGACATCAATCGGGGGCCCGCATCCACAAAATAAAGGGAGCCTCGTGAAATTAAGACGATGGATCAATGCATGACGAAGGCACCACAAAAGAGGGTCCGACACAAAAAGAAGAAAACAAAAAGAAGAGCCGAAAACCCTTCTGTTAGAAGGAGGTTCCCTCTGCCGCCTTTTTGGCCCATTCCCTTCCACTTCCCCTTCCCCTGCCCCTCCGTTCGATCGCGTGTTCTTCTTCAATTACAGCGCCATTATACCGAAAGCCGAAAACGTTTTACGGTGCGAAAGCCTGCGGACCCCCGAGGGCCAACTTAACCCTCTAAGAATGCCCCTGTTTTAAAACTGTCGATTTTGCTCAGCATTAGCTTAATAGATTTTAAACTAATATCAAAATTTAAAGTTTGTAAATATTACTAACATATTGATATATCATTGAGATAATATTGAACATGATATCTACTCAAGCTTTATAGCTATTAAATGTCATTTGCAGTATTTTACATTTCATAAATGTAAGCGTAGAGGCTCTACTCTTTTTAAAAAATTTCATTTAAATATTTAAATTCCAAAATGTTATTAACTAAAATTGTAATTTAAATTTTAAACGTATATACTTAAAATAAATGCAACTAATTCAAAAAGGAACTTTTTAAAATCTAACATTTTCCACATTAGTTAATATATTTTATTATAAATCATGAAATGATAATGAATTTTATTTTATTTTATGAATAAATATTTAATTCAATGTACAATTATACAAATACGACGATATTTTATTTGGTTGATTAAATAAAAAAATTTCTTTTACTTAAACATTTTTATTTCGAAGTCGATTTGTGGGTTACTCTTAAAATTAAATTCAAAACACTACCAAAGAAAAGTTTTTTTTAAGACACCCTAATCTAATAAAACCGGACTCAATACATTTTGGGAGCATAACTAAACTATACTAAGTTATTTATAGTTTTCTATAGCTAATATTTTCATACATTGGACCACATAGGGTTAAAGATGAGACAAACTCGCTCCGCGGGTTCCTTCCACTTGCTTTCGGTTCGATCGCCGAAGAAAGAAAACGCTTTGTGTTTCTTTCCATCTTTTTTTGCCTGGCCCGCTCGCTGCAGCGTAATTCAGGATTCTCCTTGCTCTGTTATTATCGGCGGGTTTTGAATTTGGGTTTGGGGTTACTTTTTAATTTTTTTTTTGGTTACTGGTAGGTAATTGCCCTGATGTTCAAGCTCAGCAGGCGGCTTCTTCTGCGAAGCAAAAAAGTGGAAGGGGCAGCGGTCGGGATCAAATTTAAAAACAATCAAAATTTTTTTCTGCTGCGGCTATGCATAGAGCCAAATTAAAACCGGGTATTATCCAAACATGTGTATAATCAAAAATTGCTGGTGGAGGGAGCAATAACCAGTCGAAATAAAACTGGTAAGGTGTAAAGCAAAATGAAAGCTCTGGATTTAAGGCGTGGCAATTGAAGATCTTGCTCGCATAATTGCTTTTTTGTATGCAATATTCTAGAACATTATAAATGAGATTGGAGAATTGCATTCTAAGTGCTGTGTCTTTCTAATCGTGTTGCAATAATAGTTGCAATAATAAATACGGGGCACTTGTCAAAATGGTATTAATATTAAAACTGGCTGGCATAATTGCTTTTTTGTATGCTCTGGATATTTAGAACACTATGAATGAGATTGGAGAATTGCATTCCAAATGCTGCCATCTTTCTAAATAAGGGGCACTTGTGAATATGGTATTAATAATATTACTAAAGTAAGAAAGCGCTTGAATCTAACTTGGCAATTATAGTAATAAATGTAATACATTCAAATTTATACATAAAATTATTCCTAGCCAATTTTCTTTGTGTCCTGAAAATTTAATTATATTTATGTTTTTTCTTATGAAGTGTGTTTTAACAATTTTAATTATTCTATGGATTTATTTCATTTTAAATGTGAAAATTTCACTGAGTTGCTAGTTTTTATTTACATCAACATGTGTATTTAAGCTTGAAGCTTATCAAATGTTAGTTTATTAAATATTTGAATTTCTTTGTAAGATTCATTAGATATTAAAATATAAAATTACACCAGATAAGCAAGTCATTCGAATATTCCAGCATACCCATGCAACTATCTTCGAAACCTCTGCCACAGCCCCAAAGAGCGCGAAACTGTGTTCGAAAATGCTCTTAAATAAACAAAACCACACCGTTGCGTTGTTTTTGTTGTATGCTCACAGCTGTCTCTTTGCAACTAAAGGCCAAGCGACACTGAGAGAAAATTCGCTCATTTTCGAATTCCATTTCGAAAGAGAAGAGAGCAAGTCCGAAAGAGAGCCACTCGAATTTCGAACACCCAACCACTGTGTCGGCGATTCTCGAATGTCTCGGGGTGTTCAGATTGTTTTCGTCCGTCAATTCGAATAGACGTGTGAACTGAGACTCCGAGATACAGCGGAAAGTATCTGGAAGATACGCGTAGTTTGGCCCACCAAAACAACTACTGACCGAATGCATTGTTTGTGGCCCAGTGAAGTAGTTATCGTTTAAGATTGCAAATCAGTCAAATGAATACAAATGTGTATCTGCGAGATACGCAGGGCAGTGAAGTTTTTCCAGTCGCAGTGAAAAATCAAGTGTAAAAACCAAAAACCGAAAACGAAAAACCGCCCCCGCAACAATAATAAATACAACCGGTACACGCCGCCAACCCACCCTCCGAAAAATCGACGTCGCAGTCACAGTCGCAGTCGTCGTCGCAATCGTTTGGAAATAAATCGTGTTTTTTGCATTTGTTGTTGGTGTTTTTAGTTGTTTATACACGCCAAGTTATTTACGTCGCACAGGCAAAATAACAACAAAACGGCTGGCGAAAAACAAATCGAGTCGGCGAAAATGTTTTACAATTAAAATTACGCGCGCAGCGGCGGGCTCAAAAGTACAAGTATCTGCAAGATACACACACGTAGATCAAATAAAGCAGCGCAATATGCGCAAATTAAACTAAAATGCAGCACATCAGAGCTGTAAAAACTTTTACGACCACACGACTGGTAACTTTGCCACCCGCACAGTCGAAAATAATACCAGATACAAATTAAGGTCGCTCAGCAGCGGCAGCGCATAAAAACACGGCGGTAGTGGAAGTGGAAGTGGAAATAGCCGTGGCAAAAGGAACTTTTCTACCTGGAGTATATTAGTCTCAGTCCCTTAGATCCTTACACAAAAGGATAGCCAGTCGGGGAGCGCAAAACTCACACACACACACAAAGGCCGTAAAACATTTTGGGCTGCTGCAGGTCTCCTCCTCCCAGGACTCGTAAATTTCCAACCCAACCAGCACCACCCCGAACAAAAAGAAAACAAAACACCGAAAAATCCAAGACACCGCCAAGTAACTGCATCCTCAACCAACTTATATATAGAATATATATATAAATATATATATATATTCGTGCAGAGATGGCGGGCAACATTGTCAAATGGTGGAAGCATAAAATTCTCGGCGGCTACAAACAATTCTCAGGTAAGCGAAAGCCAAGCGTTCTCAACTTGCTTAGTGAATTTGCAGATAGTTGCCAACAGATATGGAAAAGATGGATGTTAAAGCTCTTGGGGAGTGCCAAAGTTCGGGGACGGGCGATGGCATTCAAGGAAACAATTTGTTTGCATTTACCCAAGTAAATTAAATTGAAAGATAAAATGCGTCAGGGAATCTCTTAAATATGGGGTATTAATTACAGTGCGATGTGAAGATATGAAGTGGATGATTCAGATTTTTATAAAAAATTTGTATTTTACATGGACTTACTAAAGATTTTGTTAAGTTTATTTTATATGGTATATTTAGTGTCTTTTACAAATAAAAATAATGAAATCTCAATCTAATAAATTTTGGAAATACTTTTTTAATTGTTTTGTTACTGTTAAAATATGTTAGAAACACCGTAGTTCTCTGGCATTTCTAATTAAAGTAAAGCCTCCAATGTAATTTACCAAAAGCCAAACCCATTAATTCAGGCAGAATATTTCCCTTTTTCGTTTTCCTGCTGCCCCTTATCGAAGGTCATTCCCATTAACATGCAACAAATCTGGACCAGAGATCTAAAATATTACCTTCGCCCAAACAATTGCTCACCCACTCATACACACAGCCACATACCTACTATTCAGAATTCATTCAGTCAAGGGCTTCTCCCACATCATTTTCCGATAATTACGGCGAACAACTAAATGTTGAAAATAAAATGTAGGCAATACCCCGGCTGCATTTTTATCTAGAAGATACACAGCCGTTCGCTTGTGGTCTTTTGGAAAAACTAAAAAAAAAAAAATGGGAGGAGAATGGAAGTGGTGGTAGGAAAACGACACACAAAAATAGAACGAAATACTGGGCATGGTGCAGAAGAAGAGAAACACAACTGCAGAACATCAAAAGAAAAAGCGACCCATGGAAAATAAATAGAATTTTTTTTTGGAAACAGATCGAAGCGAAGGGATCGAATCGCTTTGGCTCCTGCTGCTGCTTAGAGATCGGCTCCTTAGTCACGGGCAGCATAAAGCATATCATGAACGTAAATAAACAAGAGGTCCGATTCCGATTCCGTTTTCGAAGTGGGATCGGAATTGGAATTGGAAATGGAATATCGGACGACCTTTCTGCCAAACGAGCAACGACGTTGATGTCCGAATCGCTGAAGGAACATCAATCAATCAATGTTCCTTGGGTTCGTTGTTTTTTGTTTTTGGTATTTTTTTTTCTGTCCACAATTTCATTGGAAATATTCTGGGGGCCCCCCGCCCCATTTTCTTATTTATCTCGAGTTTATTTTGCTGTTTTGAAGCCCCAGAGAGAGATTTCTTCGTCGGCTGGCAATTGGTCTGCGCCAATTAAATGCCAGGCCAACACTTTGAACCCTTTGCAGGACAACAAGCCTCGTACACTAATTGCTGGCAGATGCAGGCAGGGGAATTCAAAGGAAACCTCCAAAGGCACACCGAAGTATGCAACTTCAAAGAAAGCAGCCTCGAAAATACTACACAGCAACAACAAACGGGAAGAGAGTGGAACAAAAAAAATGAAAAAAATGAAAATAAAGCGAATTGAAATGCCGACGCCGTTTAAAAACAACGTACGAACATTTCTTACCTGTTGCAGGTAAAACCGAAGGCAAGTCGATGCCGCGATGGAGGTGGAGTTTGCCTGGTGATGATGGAGTGCACAGAGAAAAATTAGAGCAACAATTAGACCTATTGTTATCAGGGAAAATGTATACTTTAATAAAGACCTCATTGATTGATTTTAACGTAGAGTTTTTGACGAAAATTGATATTTGATAGGTTCTTGTATTGTAAGATATTAATGGTATTACTAATCTATAAATTCCATCTTTAAGTAATCTATTAATATTGGATGATTAATTGACAACCGAAATACAATGAAAATGTTGGTAGAAATGCAGTATAATTAATTGTTTATTTTTAAAAGCCATTTGATGAATGAATTTGCTATGGGTTCAATTGGTTGATTTTGATTATACAATATTAAGCTTGTAAAGTTTCCAATCGATTAGTACATAACCGTTTAAATCAATCTATATATGCCAAAGTTTAGTTACAAACAAAAATTCAATCTAAAACAATTATCAACATATTAAATTATAATTGTTTCCTGTGTAGAAAGCAGCAGCTGCTACGAGGCCAAGACCGATACGATACGATGCGATACCGACTCATACACAAAAACCTTTTAAAAACCCTCACGTTGATAAAACAACAACAATAACAACAACGGGCATCAGCGGCAGCAAAGTCGTCGAGCCGCCGCCGCAAGCAAAAATAATAATAACTGAGCGGCAGGCGGCAGAGTCGTTGCAAGCTCCCCATTCCATCCCCATCTACCGATCCCCCATCCCCATCCCCATCCAAAACTGAGAAACTCCCCAACTCCATCTCGAAGATACATCCACATCCACATCCACATCCAACCAGTTCCGCGGCCCAGGCCAACTATGCCAAACATCTCGGCAGCGGCTACACAAAAGCGGTTTAGAGACCAAACGACGATCGACAGATGGACGGACGGAAAGACAGAAAGACGGACGGACTGAGGAACGGCGATCCAGCGAGCGTACTCTGTTTGTATCTTTGAGATACACACCGCACTGATGCTGCGACTGCCAAGCTGCGCTTTGCGCTCTGTTCAAAAGATGCGCTTTTTGCTTTGAGGCGCGGCACCAGAGGCCGTCCACAGTGGTTCAAAACTACGAGTATACCATATGTGTTTGAATGGGGATTATCGGCGGTACTTACTTACGGGGCAGGGAAATTATGAAACCCAAACTGGAAGGTCATTCAGGTTCAGGGGGGGATTTTAAGCAGATTAAATACGATCTACTAGACATGTTGTAAAGATGGATTTATACCCTACTTAAGTGTTTTTGAGGTGCAAGCTGTCTTTAATCATTTCGTTTATGGTATATGCACACTACAAAGATATAATTTCCACTATTTACAGTTTATTATTTCTAAGAAATGAATTTGTTATAACAGACTATAGTTTTTGTTAGTTTTTTTTTTATAATTTTTGTTAAAATATTACTATTGGAAGAAATATTTTAAACAAAAGATACCCGGTACCCTTATTCCTATAATACTTATTATTTATTTTTCCCACTTCAATAAAACAATTTCTTGGCTAACTAGTTAGTAACCACTGTGTCTTGTGCGGGTTTCACAACTTTTGCCTTGGCTTTTCCTCGATGCCGTGCCGTTGCTGTTATTATTATGGTTGTGGTTGTTGTGAATTACGGTAGAAGGCAACAGGCGAATCGCGTCGGCATTGCATCCAATATCCAATGCCTTCATGACGGCCCGAAAGCAAAGCAACGTGGCTCCAACTACAACGCCAACTCCAACTCCGACTCCAACTCAAAAGCCTCCAACTCGAGGTCCAGCTGAAGCTGCAACTACCAACTTTGACTTGGCACTTTTTGGCTGATCCACGGAGCAATAGCCTGGTATAAGCAATTTTCGTAATATTAGCCAGGAAGTTGCCGCTCTGCCTTTCGACATGCCAGCGACCCTATATGGTCGGCTTGGTTCAGTTCAGATCGGCTTTTGTTTTTTTTTTTTCGGTTTAGGACTGGGTGCCAGCCCACCTCGATCGACTGGTTTTTTTGGAGGCGGCAGCCGCCACCAAACCAAAAACCAAAAAACCAAAACAATGCTGTGCCGCCTTGTGCCAAAAGATAAAAAGCTGTTAGCTCGTAGCTTCTGCATTTCTGCAGGCTTCCCGGGGATGGGGGTTACTCAAGATATATGTAATGACTTTTGAGGTTTTTGTTTTGGTCATCGGCTTTTGTTTGTGTTGATTTAGCAATTGGCTCTTGGGTCTCTCTCTCTTCTTGGAATTATGCCGCACTTGGGCTGAATGAGCAAATACCACGACCCCCAAATAAGAGGGTCATAACTTCAACGGATTCGTTGCAAAACCAAGTCTCCTTGAGATACAAAAAAATAAATTCCTTACTTTATTGCTACAATTTTATTTAATTTTTATGATTTTTAAATAAGCCAAAAAGAAAAACCACCAAATGTGGCATATTTATTGTAGATGTATTAAAACTATGTGGATGTTTAATATCATAATACATTTTAATTAGCAGTTTAAACACTATAAAATATTACGAGTTTCTTAAGTTTCCTTAAAACATGTATATGCTTAGTTGTCTAAATTACTTCCTCAACCAAAAACCATTTCTTTCCTTTGTTAAAAAGCTAAAAAGAAAACAAGTTCTAGGCAAATATTTGTGAAAACTTACTCGGCTGCCAGTTGTTTTCAATAACTCTGATGGAGGAACCGTGTTGGCTCTTCTTCTTTGCAAATTATATATACGAGGGTCGGTACCTCTGACGTCTGATTGATAAGCGAACCCCCCGCCTTATCTTAATAATATTTAATGCATGGCAAGGCGAAGCGTGGCGAGGCCGAAGCGAAAAGTGTTGTCACCAAGGGGGAAAGGGTGTAAGAATGGGCATTGGAGGGGGTTTTTTTTGGGGGGCGGAGGCAGAGGAATAGTTTGTGTATAGTGAAAATGAAATTGAAAATAATACAAAACGCTTTGTCGGTCATTAGCTTTGAGTGGACGCCGCCAACGCCGCTTTCGAGTATTTCTTTTTTTTCGGGGATTGTCGCGTCATTTGCTCGCTTGGTTTGGGTTCGGTTCGGTTTGGTTTGGTTTTGATTATGTCAAAGCGAAAAAGCCGCCAAACATGTGTGCCCCAACCCGCATGGCTGTGAGTTCGTAAATGCTTTGAGGAAAGCGGCCTGGGAAATGTTTTTTGGGGAAGACCCCCACCAAAGTGGAAACTCCGATTTATTCGGTAAAGTGACAGAAATTCTGTTGGATCGATTGGGAATACAAATTTATTTTGTATTATTAAGGATTACGATTGAAATACAAAATTTAAATATGCCATAAGATGAGCTGATGTTGACAGCAGCCACATACCAACTTTACTAAT